TCGCGGAACCATTTCCTTTTGAAGCGTCTAGTTGGATTGTCGAGAGAAGTGAGTGATGCTAACTCAGGCTTAAATGTTATACATTTTCCCTTATAGTAAAATTGGGTAGCTATGCAGTTACACTAATTCCAAAAAAACAATAATTTTGCCAATTTAAATTTTGAGACCTTAAACTTAACATTACATCTAGAGCTTTAAATCATTTTTCTAATATTAAAATATATTTTTGAAAAATATAACAAGTGATGAATAAACCAAATGTAACATTAATATTAAATTTGTCTGTTCAGAAAGTTCGTTTTTCTGATCTCCAATAAATTTCCATATCTATGATTTTTTTTTTATTTCATTTTTTTTTGATTTTATTAAAAAATAAGTTTTAATTACAATTTAATTTAAAATAAATCGATCTACAATATTAAAAAAATTGAACCATCTCAAAGGAACGTCACAAGACTCCATGAACATTCTATTGTACAAACTCGAAACATTCTTAAATTTAATGTACTATATTTTTTAAATCATAGGATAGGTATTCATTAAATTAAATACTTTTAATCCTGACGTTTCTACTAAATAGGTATTTAAAGAATGGATTCAAAAAGTCAGGGAGGAAGAAAACGATATTTAATCTCCTCCTCCCCCCAGAGGTAGACTTAGGTAAATTCTAGAATGTCTGTTTTCGGCAACAAAACGAATATATAAGAATAAATGATTAAACAATAAAAAGCATTGTTCAGCCGATTGCGTTTCGATGGTACCTATTTATTTTCATCAGTTTCCGTCAAAAGGCAAGTCTGATCGACGAACAAGGACAAATGGACACGGCCGTTAAGACGCAGCTATTTGGAGTATTTGGACGCCAAGTCATTTAGACGCTGCCGTTTGGGCGCTAGTATATTTGGAGGCGAGAACAAAATTAAAATTATTTAATTCTTTATTTTTATTTATACCAATGACAATAAAATATAAATATACGTATATTATAATAGAATTATCATAAAACATAGTTTATAAGCACACATTTTATTTAAATATTTATAATAATAAAACAAATTAATCAATATTGGTCTAAACGACTTCGTGCCTAAACGATAACGTCGATTTCGATAACGAAGGATAAATCCTAATATCGTGATAAAACTATAATATTAATTATAATCATTAATTTTGTCCTCGCGTCCAAATGTACTGGCGCTCAAACGGCTGAGTCTAAATGACTTTGCGTTCAAACGGCCGCGTCCATTTGTCCTAGATCGTCTGATCGAACACCTAAGAGGATGTCGCGCACTTTTTGTTTTCTCTCTCTATCTAACGCGTAACATAACAAAACGCATTAACGCAGAATCGTTTTTTTGATGTTTTCGAGTTATCATAGAATAAAAAATACATATTTCAAAAATTATAGAGGATAATATTTTTAAGTGTTCAACATATCGGTTTTATATTTTATTATTATTATTTGACTTAGTATTCAATTTTCGAAATAAAAAAAAATTATAAATTTAAATTATGTTTAAAATTGATTTGAGACAATACCTATTTAAATAAATCGGTATGTTATACCCTTAAAAATATCATTCTCTATCATTTTTGTTATAGGTGATTTTACTCAATATCATCAAAAAATATTAATGCATAAATGCGATTTTTCAATGTTAGGTACACGTAGGTCAAAGAGAGAAAACAAATGGTGCACTGACATCCTCTTAAAAATACGTTTGACGCAATATAATATTGTACATATTTTGTATTAAAAGGTGTTGGCTATCTAATTATTTGATAAAATACCTATAAAATGTTATTTCAATTCTATAATAGCCATGGTTATTAGGATTTCACCGACTGTGATATAGATTGTTTGATTTACCTAATTTTGTAGTAGGTAACCCATTTTATCATTGATGATATTAATTGTATAATGATAACTTTCTTGTAAAATGTAAATTTAATTGACATATATGATACTGATACGCATACCTACGATAAATAATCTGACTGCTAATGGGAAACAATATTATTATTCCCTTATTTGAAACATCGTAGATACGCGGAAAAGAGTATAAGAGAAGGATACCTATTTAATTTGTAATACTGCTTTTTCTTTAAGAATGGACATAGTAGGTATCTATAATTTTGACTATAGTTTCAATAATTTTACTCTACCCAGGCGGACTTTGTTAGCTATTGTGAAATCTAAGAAATGTTTCGACTCTAATTTTACACCGAAGATTAGATTTAGGTACCTAACACTAAAGTCTATCCATTATCCATCATGTAGATACTACCTATAAACAATAATTATGTCAAAGATGACGGCCAGCGTACAAAACACGCAATTACCTATGTGTATACTGTATATGATATACAAATCATTAAGATAAAATTATTGACAGATAACCAACTTCATAAAAATTATAAAATATAGGTACAGTGTGTAAATGTTAACTGAGAACACTCAATAAATTTGCGTAGATTCCTGTGATTTGAATTCTGTGTTTTGGTATGTTGTTATTACGACATAAAATTACACATTTTTATGGCCTTTGAGTATTTTTAACTTAATTAGACATGTGCATGCGCAGTACAACTTTATTTTTTTTTAAATGGTAACCACCTATTTTAATTATTAATTATTTTTTGCTTATTTTTTTAATGAATTTTGGTAGTTAAACTAACTTTCTAAGTCCAAAATTTACCAAGTTATAGCAATTTAACCAAAAAACTACAAAATACACTCGATATACAGTTTTTTGACTTGTAACTTAAAAATAATTATTCTAGGATTGTTTAAGTTTGACATTTTTATTCCTAATTATTAAGTTGATATTCACACATAATTTTAATCTTAATTGCTGCATAATTTTCACTGTAATTTGTGTACGAGTTATAACTTATAGCAGAAAAAACGTAAATAAGTATCTATATCGTTTATTTCATTAAATTTAATGGATCTATTAGGATGTAATAATAACAAATTCAATTATTATTTAAGTTAAAAGTTTATTTAAACGTAGTTATACTAATAGTGTAACTTTTATTTTTATTAAATAATAAATAACTAAGTACCTATTTCTCCACTCACATCAATAAAATTCTAATTTTTCAAAATAAAGTGCTACGTATTATTGCCAACGCACCTTGGTTCATAAGGAACGTAAACCTACACAAAGACCTTCAAATCCAGGAAATCACAGACCATATTAAAATATCATCAAAAAACTTCCATACCTAGGTACCTCACTGCTCAACTCCTCTGGCTCACTTCACTATCAACTCCACGTACATCCGCCTCAACGTAGATTAAAATGTGGACGTCCACATGATCTTCTAGTGTAACAGTTCCACATTATACAGTAGCTGTTTCTACTTGTAGTATCAATATCAAGCTATACAATTTGTTATTATTATATCTGTTATACTATCCATTGTAATTTATTTCAATATTGTTATTGTTAAAAATGCACCATTATAATATCATTAGATGTAGATAGCCATGGCTAGGAACATCTTATATATATTTAAAAAAAAAAAAAGAAAAAAAAAGTACTTATTTCATAAAAAAGGCAACCTTTATTATTCCTGTTTATTTCATTCAAGTTGTATTTTCGGTAGGTTACCTACCTAATTATACGTTCATTTCAACTAAATTATTAATATTTATTTGTTTTTCTGTATTAAAAATAAAATAAAATAAGTTATGCAATTAGTTATTGCAGACTAGTTAAAAATATAATAAATTGCCTATTAAATTTTATAAATCTGATTTTAGTTCAACTTATTTTTATTTATATTTACTAGAACAAAAAATTTATCTCAAAAAATTAATAAGTTAATAAGAAAACTGATTATGTTGAATAGTTTTTTTACAAAGTAATTCTTAAAGTTAGTTTAATGAGTATAAAAGTGAATAGATACTATTTTTGTTCTATATCATACTTTGTTTTAGCTATTAGGGCTGTAAATGTCAACTATAAATCGAGATGAAGGATTGTTTGAACTCTATATCTAGCAGTATTCATTCTAAAATATTAATCCCCACTCACAATCTACTTAATTTCTAATTATGTAATACATATAGGTAATTAATCTTTGCCATTGAAATATTCAGTTATGAAACAAAAAACTTTTGTTTTATCTTAATTGTATTTAAAATACAGTAAATATTTTTACAAATAACACCAATCATCTTCATTATTATCAAATAACCTCAAACAGTTAAAGCCAAAACTTAACAGAATATATCTATACAAATACCTAATCAACTAAAATATTTTTTAAATGCAGTTTGTTAACACCATATTATTATTAATAATTGGCACATCATTAAGAATGTATAACAATTATTTGACCTGTAAAACTCATTTATAGTACTCATATAAATTTTATTTCATTGTAAAAGGTGACTCGACTGCGAGTCTTCCTACACGTTACTCAAAGCCTTTATTCTCTTTATATTATTTATTTTGCCATATCATATTTACTTATTGTATAATGTAATGTACAGATTGTAAATTTCCAATAAACGCCATTTATTTAAAAAAAAAAAAAAACAATTATTCAAATTTAAGATATAATTTTTATTTAGTAACACTTACCTCACACAAATTGATATACAATTATTTGACTGCCAACACTTGCACAGTAGCACATACTAAATAACAGGCATGGTACATATCAAACTTCTGTACAAAACGTTACTAGGCAACAAATAATGACAACAATAGGGAAAAATACTTAATTCTTAATATGTTTCAATAAAATATTATTTTATATTCCATTCTTTGAATTAATTTGTTATAATATTTAACACCATAATGTATGCATACAACTGTATATCAATACATGATTTATTCATGTATTGAATGTGATATTAGGGTTTTAAATTTAAATAATATTACAAATTCAGAAGACTGAATAAATAAAAAGAAAAAAATATATAAATAATAAACAAACAAACAAATCCTAACAACTAATCAATCAATTTACAATATAATATTATAACAAGTAATAGAAACCTTAATGGTTTGTAAAAATAATTTAAATTGTTTTTATATTTTAAGCAGGTTCACAAGTTCATGAGTAGATTCAAAATAAAAATCATGAGTCTCTATAAATTTGTCTCCAATATACATTAACTTGTACTTGTATCAATTTAACAACAAGCATACAGTGGGTGATTTAATTAACAGTCATTGACCCAACAGTATTTTACGTATTCAAAATAAGACTCTATGATTCTAATACGCATATACAATTAAGCTACTGGTGGAATTAGGAAATTATTAAGACTTATATAATATAATTTATAAAAAAAAATAAAAATAATATATACAAATACATATAAATAGGTATATAACAATTTGTCAGTTCCTAATAAAGATTAATTTTATGTGCATAATTGTTAAACGTTTACACACATATTAAACATTCATATGTAAACATAGTAAATTGACTTAGATTCACACCAAACGTCTTTACTTAAGACCAAAGTCAACTACTAAAACAATTTTGGTAGCCAGCTACCGATTTCAAATTGTTTAGAACTAATCTTTAAGAGATCTTTTTGGCACAAATGTCACGTTTAAAAAATGAATTTAACCGCTACAGACTTCTGAATGATCATCCCAAGCATCAATCTGTAAACAAAATAAATTTACATTTAAATTTTATTAAGTAAAATTTGATTTTTATTACAATAAAACTCAAAATAAAATTTAAAATATGTATTAGATATTTTTTATTTTACAAATTAATACATGAATAACCAGTTTCTTTAATATAGTCATTTAATTGTATTCTATTTACTTAGTAGATAAAAATATATTTTATTTAATGATTCAATATCTGTTTAATGTTAATAGTTATATAGCTATTACCTGTCCACAGTGGTTAAAGTGGGAAAAATGTTGAGGGAGAACTAAAATCACCAAAAATTGAGAAGCATTCCCGAGTTCTTCTTCCTAAGTCTATGTCTAACCAATTTTTTTTAAGAAGCGTACTAGGTATAAACTTAATGTTAATAGTATGTAAAATTAAATTTTATTCTAAGAAAAATGATTTTAAACATAAAATGCCTGCTAAGTTAGAAATAAATTGCAATTCATTGCCTGAAATTAAAAAAAAAAACGTATTTACATTTTATTTTTACACATTTCATTAAAAAAAAAAAAACAAATAAAAATAATTTAAAATAAATATTACTATTCATATTCTTTCAGTTTAATAATTTATTTAAATTTTAATTATTATATCACATAAGCTATATAAATATTATAAAATCATACAAGAATATATTTATTTAAATTATAAAGGTCCTCAATAGCTCAATAAAATATTATAACTTATCAACTTTTAAATATGTTTAAATTCGGCGATTAATCAATTTCTGTGTTTTTACATGCGTGTTTTTCATTAGTAATCTTTATAAACTAATATAATTTTATATCTCTAAATAAATTTTAGTTTCAATAACACAAACTATATTAAAAAAATTCAAATAATTTATTTTTTTTTATTTTTAGTCTATAAATTATTATTATTTTTTAGATTAATCCAAAAGATTCATTGTGTATCTTTGTTAAAAAACTATTCATGTAACAGGAAGTATTTATTAAGTAATAAAAGAATGACACGTTTGAGCATTTTAGTTTTTTAGATTTCTTTTACAGAAAGGATTAATTAAAAATAATAATTAATATTATTATTTGTTTTTTCCATGAAAAAATTTTATTTTAACAAGGTAACTTTAAATAATAAAAAAAGAATTATGCAACAAATTACATTTTATCTTAACCTTTGATAACGTGTGAGGATAAGTGTTTGCATCTATGAATATCAATGTATATTTTCATAACATTTCATAAAAATTATTTCATTATTAAATATGACATTATTAAAAATTTAAACATTTTTAATGCATTATTTAAATTTAAAAAATTATACAAATGTCTGAATGTTCTCTTATAATTACATAAAAAATATAATTTAATGATTTTGTGTACTTTTCTAAATATAGTTAGTTAATTGTAATCAAGTATGTTCATAATACATCACAAAACAATACAAGGAAAAACTAAGAACAAAACTATATGTAGGAGGGAAAAAATAATTACTGAATTCAGATTTCACCTGAAATAATTAACCATAGCAGCAACACTAATAAAAATTAAAATTGGAAACACTAAACTAACATTAAACAACTATATTAAGGCAAATAAAATTATTAAACAATATCTTTTACAATGATGCTGATATTACAGCAATACACTGGCCTGAAATTATTAACTACCCAAAGCACATGGTCAAAGGTTAAGTAACAAAAAAGTAAAATAATTACTTTTTATAGTTTGTTACTTGTAATTACACATAGGATATTTTATTTTTACCAATATATTAACAAAACATTTAAATCAAAATGAAATAATGTAAATTTGTTTAAAAAAAAAAAATAAATAAATAAATAATAATAATAATTAACATTTTACTAACATTTTTGTAAATTAATATTATTTAAATAACAAAAATCATATAGCATAATTTAATATAACGTACTTGGCAGTCTTTGCTGCAGTACCATTGATTGCCACATCCAGCACAGACAAATTGTGCTGGTTTTTGCATACAACCTTGACACTGTGGAGCACTAGATGGAGAGTTTGCATTCATATCTTGTCCTTCATCAATAACCAGTCTATCAGATGCGTCTTCATCATCTACTTGAGCAGGCTAAAAACAAAAAAACAAAACAAAATTAACACTATTGTTAATATTTTAGAGCAAGTCAATCTTACTGGTATATTTGATGAACAACTTGGTTTTTGTTGATAAGTAGAAGACATTGATGTACTCTGAACTGGAGTAATAGTTATTTCATTACGAGATTGCTAATAAAATATAAAACATTTATCAACATTTATTTATTTAAATGTATATACAATTTATTCTCTAAATTACAATAACAATAAGTAATAGCAGAATTTCAACCAACATATTTATATATATATATATATATAAATATTTTTTTTTACTATTTTTATTAAATTTGATTTTAACATAGTATGTATAAAATGCTTCAATGAAAATTCAGTGCTAGTCATATTTGATTGTTTTAATCTTCTTTGTTTTCACCTGATGCTATTATTATTTTGTTACGGAATACATTGACAGAGGTTAGGTTATGATTAGGCCACTAGGCCTAATATTTAGTTTATATAAATGTTTAATAATATTCATAATTGGACATCTGTATGTTTCTGGAATTAATAGGTCTTTATTTGATATTGCATAAAATTAGGTAAAGGATGTATTTTGTTTTTTTATCAGTTTTTAAACTATATTAACTTTCATATAAAGGTAAACTCCAAAATTTGTATAGAATACCTTTGTAAAAATCTGATCAAGGTCATAATTAAGAAAAACTGTTTTGTAAACAAAACAAAAGTCAGTATGTTAGTTTAATCTCATTTAGTTTTGATTTGAGAATATTATGTTTCTACGATTTATCATTATTATTAAATTTTGTATCATAACATACTTCAATCACAAATGTGTATTTCCTAAAATCCGATATTTATAACCTATTCTGTGATTTTTAAATTACATTGTTTGTATATTATAGTAATTTTAAATTTTATAAAAATGCTTTTTTTAATCCTACTACATAAAAATTAAACACAGACCTTTTAAATAATTAATAGGTATAATTGAAAAAAAAAAAATATGCTATTGTAAGTAAAAATTTCACTTGAATAATTTAATTAGTATTTACCGCATTGGAAGACACAACAGTAGCTGCAGGTGCTTGACGTTTTCCTCTGCTTTGCTTGCAACGTTCTGGTGCAGTTAAAAGTCTTGCTAATGTAGGTGAATAATTGGTTGGAGGATGTGACATACTAAGTGGCAAATGGTGTGTACCAGCACCTTTAGTTAAAATTCCTATAATATAAAAGTAATAGTTATCACCAAAAATACATCAAATCAATAAATAGGCACAGAACACCAAATTATCGATAATGAACGGTCTTTCTAGTTAGTAAATAATTTTCAATTATTTACTCATTTTTATATTCTTAATAAATATATATATATAAGTACATATTTATAACATAAAATTAAGCTATTTTTTATTCAGCTTATTACGGATCAATAATAAAATATTTTTTAAAATTAATTCTTACAAAATCTCATGATTCAAATTAAAAAAAAAAAGAAAGTTAAATGCTTAAAATGTGCTTATATAATTAATTATCATACGGCTCATGGCGTACCTGCAATTGAAATTTATTTAAATTATATTTATATTTAAATATTATGACTTATTTTTTTGCTATCAATACTATGACAGGACAAAAATTGCAATCTCAAATAAAAATTTGGAGTATTTCTTATTTAATTTATCTTAATGATTAAAATTACCATGTAAAAGAGAAGTTGGCTGTGGTTGTTGTTGTATTTGTATTTGTTGTTGTTGTTGCTGTTGTTGTTGTTGTTGTTGTTGTTGCTGTTGCTGCATTGGCTGCAAGACTGGATGCAGTGTAACTTCTGGAAAAGCAGGAACATCTTTAAAACGATTATGTTCAGACCCATGTTCCATAACATTGTTTGGAACTCCATGGGTGTTCGTGATAGCTGAACAAAACATAATATTTTTTAAATATTCAAATTTTGATAAAATGTAATTATTAAATAGGTAAGGTAATTAACCTATTATACAACTTACTAGTTTTAAAATTTCCATCATTAGTATGATGAAGTGGATTACCAAAACCCATAGGATTTGGATAACGTAATGGAGCTGAAGATGTGGGTACTGAAAAATCATTGGCTGTCACTTTTCGACGGCCTCTTTTAGTAACAGCTGTTTCAGGATTCTTTGATCGATGATCAGCAATAATCAGCTTAACATCTAATATAGGACCTTGACGACCTTCTTTATGATTGTTAGCTGTAGAAGGCTTAGGCAGTATTGGTCTTTGAACACGATTGGTGCGATTCACCCTTTCTGATAATATCCAATCGTTGGATTGAGCATTAGATGATGAAGCAACTGGTGTGATACTAGTATTAGGTGTTGAAGAAGTATAAATACTCTGATCATAGTTATTTATTGCAGATTTTTCAAGTTGATTATCACCACGGTTGTCAATAATATCTATGATATTCTGTTTAAAAAAATAAATTAGACAATAATAATTTAATAATGAGATAAAATAAATAAAATTATATTAAAATAAATACCTTTTCACTTAGTATATGTTCAGGCTGACTTAAATTAATTTGAAACATTTCTGGCAAATTCCAGTCTTTGCTGTTATCTGTTTTAATAGCATCAAGTTCTTTTAGTTTAATCATTAATCGTTCAATAATTTCCTCTTTGAGTTTTTGTAACCTGATAAGGGTCACCAACTCGTCACGTTTTGTCTGTGCTATTTCCGTAATTACTTTAATTTCATTCTGTATTTTCTCTACATTTTTATTTAATTCAACTTCATTTTTACCACTTGACTGTACAATATTTTTTATCAATCGTTCTCGTGTATCATCTTTTAATAATGGTGTGTCTTCATCAGATCGTAACTTTTTAATTTTAGGTAAATCATTATCGCTACTTGCTCCACTCACAACACTAAGTTCATCGTGACTAGCAGCAGACCTCTTACGTGCAATTGGTTCATCTATCTGAAAATGATACAATAAATAAGAAAAACTGTATATAAACTTAATGAAATTTATATTTAACTAATACTTGTTTAGGTGAAAGTGTATCTGTACTAATTTCACTAGAGATATCCTCTTCTTCAAGAACTTTACGAATGACTTTTTCAGATTTAAAGGGTTTTTCATCTTCACCAAGTTTAACTTCTCCATTCACTGGATTTGTTTCTTCTTCACTATTTTTCAATACTGCATTACTAGTTGTAATAATTTCGTCCTTGTGACTTCTTTTTCCATTAATAGTCTTTTCTATTTCTTGAGTTTCTGTATCTTTAGTAGCTTCTGGTTCATCAACTTCTGAAGTTTCTTTCTTAATAACTACATCTTCATTAGTTTGATCTTCAGTATCATCAATTTCCATAAGTTTAACTTCTTCATCTTTGTCTACTTGTTTTATTTTAGGACTATCATTTTTAGTTGTAGAAGTTTCGTCATTAGTAGTTTCTATGGATTTTTCTTCTTCAGACGTCCCATTTTTCACAATTTTATCAGTACTTTTGGATGAAGGTTCAGTCTTGTTTTCTGGATCTTTTTCTTTTTTATCGTTTGTTTTTTCTAATTTTTCTTCTTCATCATCTTCATCTTTATTGTCTTCTTCATCTTTCTTAATTACATCTTGGGAAGCTTCTTCAGCTTCTATAGAATTGTCTACAATAGTTCCATTTAACTTTTTGTGACTATCACCATTAACTTTTGTCATGGTTTCCAAATCATCGGTCTTTGTATCTGAGGGACTTGTGTCAACAGACATTTCGCTGTTTGCACAATCATCTGCCGGGATCGGCATGCGGCTAATTTGCATCTCGTCTTCTATGAAATAGCTGAAAAAAAATTAAATTTATCATTAAAATGCCTTTGTACGCAACTAAAAAAACAATATTGGTTATCATTACAATAGATTTTTTAACCATGAAATAAAATTTTAATTTTAAGATAAAATGATCTTTAGTACCATATCTCAATCATACAATGACAACAAATGGTATGCAGTATATTAATCAGTGATCAATTACATATTACATTATGCAAATTGTGTACCTAATCGTTGCTTATATATTTTCTTATCTAACATATTATAACAAGCCAACGGCTTAGTGACTGTATCGAGTACATACACAAATCGAATACAAGTAGTCAATTCAAACAGTGAGTAAGAATCAAGAAGTACCTATGTAACCAGGCAGGGTAGACTGAGAAGCATAATATTTTAGCTAATGTACCGGCTGCAAGTCAATTAAAACAAAACGACGAATAAACTGAAGCAGGACGGCGTCTACGACCAGTTACAGACGGGTCGAAATCCTTCTACGCTTTTGGTTTCACCAAAGGCCCCTCTTCCTCTGCACCGGACGACAATTCGATAGGCATTCGAGCGGGTCTCCACCGCGGAGTTATAACGACGCGGGCGACGTACGGAAAACGGCAAAAAGATTTAAATTTTAAAGCCCGACTGCGAGTCACACTTTCGAGAAACAGTACCTACTCCACGCACACGGCGAGAGCGTAATGAATTCATCACTGCGGTCCAGTTTCCCATTCGACTCGCACAGTTCGTTTACCTCGGCGGCGGCGGAGTGCGCGCGCGGTTTGTCCTACTTAGACGCCGTCGTCGCCGTTGCAGCAACGACAGCGGCTGCAGTCGTCACGGCCACAGGCGCGCGAAAATAAAAACGACACAAGCTCAAACGACATAATAATAATAATAATAATAATTAATAGTAATAATAATGATTATTGATTAACAATAACAATAACAATAACACCAAAAATGTGTTAACATACGTACCACACGCGCACGACACACACGGTTATCAGAATTCCCGACACATGGTAAGGCGAGCGACGTGGGTAGATAACTGTTAAAGAGACGGGACACACTAGAGACGCGCAATTTTGGACGCGACGACGGTAAAAACACCGATCGAAAATCAATCAAAGCAAATAAAAAAAAAAAATTGTTAAAAAAAAAAAAATCGCGTAAATAAATTGTAACGACGGCGGAAACGGCACCCTAAGCGGGAGCGGACACGACGACACGAACGATCCGATTGGTCCGAAGGAATCGCGCACACAGCAAACGAAACCGTAGGGACGGCGCGCAGCGGTGGCGGCGGTTCAAGGCTATCGTTGTGCGAGAGGAGGTGACGGACGGCCGCGACCACCGAGAGAGACACAAGACGAACGCTCGTGCGCGCGCGCGAGAGAACGTGATAGACGGTCGGCGGAGCGAGCGAGACGGCGGCCGTGCCGGTGTGACTGAGAGAGCGAAACGATCGTCGGTGGACGGACGGACGGACGGACGGCCGAGCGAAACGGATACCGCGCGCGCGGCAACAGGCTTGCAAACGTCGCGGGCCCATATTACCGTGCCGGCGGAATCGCGACAGTTTTTCACGGCGGACTTAATAACGATAATAACAATACAATATTACGCCTATTTATATGGGTCGAGGCCTTTGCCGGTTCTCATTCCGCCGCGGTAAATCGGCCGCCAGACGATGTCCGCGTTGTCGTCGTTATGTCGACGTGTACAACGTTCTTGTCGGCCCACACGGATACGGATGTCTATGAGATAGGTAAAAAATCCGTTTTTGGGAGGGGCTCGTCGGCCGAACTCCCACACCCTCGCGTTCGCAGTGTTAGCCGAAAGGACTCTGCGGACTGCGAGTCCTGTGTGGGTAACGACGGGAAAAAAATCAAACGCAGAGTATACCCAACCCGAGTACAAACGTGACGAATGAGCGCAGCGTCGGGTCGAGTTCGTTCGAACTATTCGAAGGAAAACGTTTTTCTCCCACGTCTTTACAGAGAATAATCCCGTAGTCCCACACCGTAACCACGGTAGACCATATCGAGGTTTGGAGTCGCCACTGCCGGCGTGATGTTATGAGAGCGTTGCGGCGGAGTCGAACCCGATAGCACGCGCAACGCGTGTGGAACATTGTGTTGTTAATTATTTCGTGCGCATCGTTCACGGCAGCCACCAGACGCGATTTTCAGCAAAATGCCGTTCGGTCGGACGACGCGCCGCGTGTGTGCGCGCGTGCGGTTGCGACGAAGGGCAAAGCAAGGACGTTGCCGCCTTGCCGGGACCGTCGCCGTCCGAGGCAAGGCAGACGCGCAAAAACATTTTTACCCGACGACGGCGACGCCGACGCCGCCGCAACCACCGAATAGGCGGAGCGGTCCGCTTGACCTTGAGCGAGACCTGCTGCACTGCGCATATTATTAAAACACATATTGCATACGCGTAAATACCGCATAGGCGCGCACACCACATGCCACGGAGATGTCGTCGACGGGGCCACGTTGGTGGTATATTATAATATTTAGCGGGTATGTTGGTGCACGGTGGTGGCAGAGGTGATAGCCAGTCGGCGGAGGTCTACCGAAAAAACGTATTCGGTTAGGTTTTTTAGTATTTTTTTTTTTTTTTAGTCGTGTATAATATTGTATTCAGCGATTTACATAATAATATGAGAGTAGATACCGATTACTACAGTTGCGCGTTATTTCATTAAATTTATCCTTTTCGGGCGACACCCGATAATAATACATCGAACGACGTCGACGATCGGCGAACGACGGAACGAATAATCTCTCTACAGCAGATAATATTATTACCCGTACACGAGTGTTTAATATATTTTTAGAATACAGCCCAGAAGTCTCGCCAGCAGTACAATATATTACCCCACTGCAACGGCATCCCCGGGGCAGGATTTCCTGTCGATTTTACCGTCTCCCTTCTTTCAAAAATATTATTTATTGTTATTGCGCAATAGTATTCGCGACCATTCCGCGTATATTATAACATCGTGGCGTGGCAAGACACTTAGACTTCTATAGTAATATATATTGTCGAGAAATAAATTGTTTTTCGTTTTGAAGACGAAAACAAAATGAAAAGTGTCACATAATGGTTATTTTTATGCTGTCGTCGGCATCCCTCGTTGTGGCTCTTAACACGTATCTGCTCACCTGCGTAATATGAAATAACAACAATAATAATTGTATTAATTAATCGTTAAACGTCGCACTCTACACCGCTTTTTTTCGATTGTTTTATAATATAAAAAGCGTGCATACCTCGCTATTCTTATTAGGTATGCGTCTCAAACTACGACGCGAAAGGAAATTCTGTAGACTATGATAAATAAATTTACTACAAAAAGATAGAATTCTTCTGAACAAAAATAATCTGTAAAGTTTACTTTGCTCTTTATTTATTATCATGTTATGTAATATTATATTGGATAGTAAACTGTAATTTTAGTTAATGTTTAATTTTATATATCTTCGGGACAAATATTAAAAACGCAATCATTTTTTTTTTAGGCTTGAATCATTTATTACTTATATACACAGCTAAAATTCTATATTCTTAATGGCTCACGACAGTACATGGCGTTGCTGTAGGTTAGGGACCACTCACCAGTCACCACTATAGGTATAACTGTGGTTAATTACAAATAATACTAATCGTTAAATCCAGCTCGATAATAATGTATTAATGAGCCACTTCTCGTTTCAACTTGTTCATGTACAAACAGTAAATGCATTAGTTTAAAATTGTTGATTGCATATATATGATATATTCCATCACATGTCTCGGTTCGTAAACCTTTGAAGTATACTCGTCAATAGAATTTATAGTTTTAAAATTTTATCTGGACTACAGACAAGAAATTTATTTATTAAATTATTTGGTACTCTTGTGGTAAATTAAATGAGATTTTTGTTTTTGCCTTACTTTCTTTAGTTAAACAAGTTTTTGCTTACATTAAGTAGAATTAAGAGGTATTGATGACCATCAAGAACTTTTTGAATTTCTTATTTAGTCTTTCAAAAATATTAATTTGTGACCTCTGCTATACTGTTATAATATTATAATACATCTCCATGTCATAAGTTATTAGAATATTTTCTAAACATTTTACATATTTTTATTAAAACTAAATAATTACGTCTTATATTTAATAATTAATATATTATAAATGCCGAATGCGTCTACTCAATATATTTCATTCGTATAGTCAGCTATGTATGCATTTATAAAAACTAAAAAATTTTCCATCATAAAATAACTTTAGCTATAAAATACATTGTTGTATATTACATTATATCAACCACCAACTTTTACACATGCATTAAATACTACTTTTATTTAAAACAAGTAAGCTTGATTTAACTAACTTTTTTAAACCATTTTATTACGTTATTTTGTCTATTATATAAAATATAACGATAATCTTTTGTGTAAACAATTTTTTAATAACATTGTATAAAAATAGTATAAACATTAATTTATATTTATGAACTTAAACTACCCTAAGGTAGTAACACCGTGACGGAGAGACACTTTTAAGCATGCACCCAATTACTTTTTAAATGGGTTATATTTTTTATTGTATTTTTATTATATTACTAGTGTTTGCAAAGTACTTACTTCCCTCACTTCTATCTGTAAATGATTACATATTATAACATCATTAAATGGAATTTATTCAATAGCCAAATGTAGATATGATTTATTTTACTTTACCATAGGTATAACCAAATAGTAAATTAAAAGTTAATTGATACTAAACAAAATAAATTTAAAATAAAAATAATACTCAGATGTTTAAAAAATAAAAATCTTGTATTTTTCATAATTTTAATATTCAATAATCCTTTACTATTATTCCTCAGCACCATCATAATTTTGCGATGAATACGTTTTATTACACAGTTATTTAATATTACGTACCTATCAAAACTAAAGCTTAATGACTTTAAAAAATGTTAAAAATTTTATGCATCCAGAAATAAACTCTAA